GGCATTTAATCTCCTTTGAAATAGTCCTCTTCTGAAGCTATACACCTTATCCAGCGTCGTTTTCATTGGGGGAAGCATTCATGGAACTCTTTTTTTTAGGGAAGCAAACAGCTTCCTTCTCGCATTCTCTTGGATTGCCTCAATTTCTTGAAATATTTTCTCTTTTAAGTGCGATTTGATTTTTGAAGAGGGAAGAAGTCTCAAGTGGTGAGATCTGGTTTTCAAACTTGGGGAATCTTGTCCTTAGCCTAAAACTGTTGCACAAGCCATGGTTACTGATGGAATCTCTGTGATGTGGTGTGGTGAAACAACCACACTCTACACACTTTCCTTCCAAGCACTGATGGAGAATGCTACAATTTAGGGTGCATGCGATAAAGAGTTTTAAGTCAATCTATGCCAAGCAGTTACCCTCGGCGGTGTTTGGATTAGCTACCATAGCAACAGTCCCGAACCTTTTTATCTGACGTCGTATATGGAACCTTAACTGTTATATATATATATATATATATATATATATATATATATTGGAAAAATTAATAACAAAGTGGGAAAATGTTTTTGTGTGTCGCGTTTCGTCCTTTAGGACTTCATCAGATCAAAGTGATGCTTGTTTTGATGTAGCTACACGTACTTACGAGCGGGGTGGGGCACTGAAACTTAATTTTTTCATATGTGTTTGGGTATATAGTTTAGCTAATTTCATTATTTTTTGTGGAGGTAGGGCTCATATTTATATTGTGATAATAGAAAATCTGCCGATATCTGTCTATATTTTTGAGATGAAGTATTATGTACACTATTTACATTATTCGGACTATTGTCCTCATCTTTGTTCTTCCAACTGAACCCTTTATCCATTAGACATGGCACGTGGAAGTAGGAACAGTCTACCCCAGCGAGCAAAATAAAGGGTTCAGTTCGACATTCCAACCACCTGAAGAAGGCGGGAGCGTACAATGGCCGAAACGTTGTGATAAATATGGCAACAAAGATGAAGACAATAGTATGAATAATGTAAAATCTGCCACGATATGTGAAATGTTGTAAGAAACTGAACTTTACTTGGTTGTCTAACGATTAAAACAATTTCTATACACTTACGTCTTATTAAATTCCTTTCTTCTTTAATTAAAGTAGCATTTTTTAATCGAAATTATGACCAGACTCATGACAGCAAGCAACTTATTCATTCAGTTTGTTGTTTTATTAAATATCTATTTTGTGATATGATATTTTATTTGAATTCCATGGGGTTTCTCCTATGTATTCCTTGCGGCAATTATTACAGGTGACATAGTAAATCCATTTTCAAGTTTTAGCTTATAATTATTTTGTTTTGTGTTAAGTCTTTTATTGTTCTTGAAGCATTTTTTAATCGGGTTCACCCCATTCAAATCAGTAAAGCCACAGAGACACAAGAGATTGCTGGGTCTGGAAGAGTTAGAAGCAGAAAAATTGTTAAGGATCGAAAACAGAAAAAGAGTAATTGCGAGGAAAGTAGATAACGATTGACCCTGCATTTACATTTTTGTAGATTAAAGTTGGCTGGAAAGCATGGAGATTAAAGTTGGCTTTTTATAACAAATTTTATGTTAAGCTTGGATAAATTGTTTTCAATTGTAAATGTAAATTTAATACAGGTGGTAGGATAATATGTTTTGATTTGTTGAGATTATCAGAATGTTTTTACGAACTTTATATTTTACGAGGCTTTTGTTTCGCGTTGATTACGAAATCATTAGGATATAGGACGAAACGTATCACAAGAAAATTATTTTCCACTTTGTCATTAATTTTCCTAACATTATTTTAGTATATAAAAATTTATACATAATTTCCCCACCCCCATATATATATATTATACCAGCTACGTACATTAATTCATAGAATTTTTTTCAAAATTGAAGTGTCTATATATATAAATGCATATATCTGCACTGGGAGGCACTTTTTTTTAAAATGTGTAACCGACATTGATTATGCAGAAGGCGATTTATCACTCTTTTTTCTATATATTTCTCTCTCACTCTTTTTCTTTCTTTCTTCTTTTTCTATCTCTCTCTTTCTCTTTCTCACTTTTCTCTCTCTTTTTCTCTCTCTTTCTTCCTATCATTTTCTCTTTCTCATTCTCTCTCTCTTCATCTTTCTCTTTCTCTCTCACTTTCTCGCTCTCTCTCTCTCTTTTTCTCGATTTTCTCTCTCATATTTCATTTCTCCTTTCTCTCTCTTTATCACACTCTTTCTTTCTTTCTTTCTTTCTTTCTTTCTTTCTTTCTTTTACACTCTTTCCCTCTCTCTTTTTCTCTCTCTCTCTTTTTCTATGTCTTTCTCACACTCTCTTTTTTTCTCTTTCTCTATGTTTCTGCCGTTCTTTTCCTTTTACTCTCTATCTTTTTTTTCTTTCTCTGTTTCTCGCATTGTCTCTATCTTTCACTCTACCTTTACTCTTTCTCTTTCATTTTTGCTCTATTTCTCTCCTACTTTCTTTTTCTTTTTCTTTCAATTCATGTCATATTAAATTCAGACATTATTTTTCGACTTTTTTATTTGACGGTCTCTCATTCCCGAAGTTAAAAAAAAAAGAAGGAAAGAAAACTTTCATTTGAGAGAATGCATGCGCATGCGCATTCAAAAATCGCTGAAGCATAACTCACAGATCTGAAAAAAAATGGCATCAAATCTATGTTCTTTGGAGTCATTAAGTGAAACTCTTATATTTAGTCTTTTACTTTCATGCTAAAATGCCGAGCGAGCGGCTTGATGAAGTTCATTCTTGTTTCATATCGTTGTTTCTCATCGTATGCAAATGATCATACGATCTTCTACAGAACTTTATTAATTATATCAAGACGGACACATTAAAATTGTATATATATATATATATATATATATATAACAGTGGACGAAGAGTAAAGTTAATAACCTAAGTTACCGTCAAGATGTGAATCGAAACAATAAACAAGGAATAACATTAAAATAGAGACCAACCGGTTTTCGACCATCCCTCTTCGCAACCAATCGATATTGCGATCTGTTTGTAAAGATGTTCTGCTCCCACATCATTTAAGCTTAGCTATTATAAATGTCATTGTGAAGCTGAATATATAGGTGGAACTAACTAAATGTTGGAGATTAGAACTAGGCAAAATTAAAGAAAATTTGGAGACTAGAACTAGAATTTGGAGAACTAGGCAAAATTAAAGAAAATTTGGAGACTAGAATAGCTCAGCACATGTCGTGGGAGATGCGAACTAAAATTGTTGACATGTGAGAAATGATATTTGGCATAAGCTAACCAATGCATTAGGTTCAAAGATTGCCGAAATCTTAATAAATAATCCAGTGTTTTCTGTGTCGCTTACCAGTGATCCCTTTACTATAATTAAGGTAGCACGCATTCTGATTGCCACTTAAAGATATTAGAGATATCATACATTAAATCTAGGCAGCTTTCTCTATGCAGGCAGAAGGAATGGCTGCTGGGCCTTAATATAATCGGTGTTCTGATTCACTGACTGTTTATAATTTATTTATTTTTATTTTATTTTTGTTTTGTAAACTTTGTTCACACAATTTACACGTTTGTCTTCGATTGGCGCGGAAAATCAAGGATTGAAAACTGGTTAGCCTGTTTTTTGTTGTTTTCTTTTTTGCTCTTTATTCTTGTTTTTCTTTCGATTCGCCACTTTCCGCTAGTTTATTTTATTACCATTGCTTTCCTTCGCTTTGTCTTTTTTTAAACCACAATTTTAATATGTCCGTTCTTATAGCATTGACTATACGACCATTAAATGTTCATCATTCAGAATCTACTTTCAAAGCCGCAAATAAAGCTGCAGAAAGTTTTATAGTCCATCAAAATCAGCCCTTTGTGTATAAATAAATATTCAGCAGTTAAATGGTTCACCAGTTATCTTACGCAAGTATATAATTTACATGACCACTATACGGTGACGCTCATTGGGGATAGAATTCACTATCAGCGAAATGAACTTGTGGAATATAACTTCGCCGCAGGCGACTAATAATTAAGTTACACCTGCACAAAATTATTTACTGGTTTATTAATACCTACCGACTATTGTTTAAATCCATAGCAATACATGTAGGCCTTAAAAATGACGGCAAATTATGACAAGTCGATACAACCCTTAATGAAGTTGATGAATATTTGATTAACAAACAAAAAAGAAGTTGATGTTTTAAGGTCCATTCATAGCAAGTATTAGAAAAATCAATTATGATTTTCTCTTTATTATTTACCATTAATTACGTAGTTTCGTGATTACTTTCGTCTTTACTGTTGGCAAGGAGAATTATATTGAAAGTGGAAGAGTGGATGCAATACGCATAAGTAAATGGAGATATATCTATTTGGTAGATATAGAATAGTTGACTGCTCTTGGGTTTTAGCAAAAACCGGATTAGTCAGTCGGTTATATATATATATATATATATATATATATATATATATATATATATATATATATATGTACTCTCTGTACTGAACACTGTCGAAAGGTGAGTTCTTGTCTCATTTTTCAGGCTTTGTTTTTTATCCTTAACATTTCATTTGGAGTTATTTTATATTGCAATTTACTAAGCGTGGCTTAGATGTGGCACAAGACCAAAACTATGGAGCACTCAGTAAGGACCAAACTCCCTACTTAGACGCAATTGATTTTGCGATAAAAGCTTGCATCATGTTGAGATTTCAGTCAATAGCTGTACATATAGGCATAAAATGGTGCCAAATTGTGACAAGGCGATACTACCCTCACTGCAGCTGGTGAATAGTTGATTAACAGACAAAATAGACAATATATATATATATATATATATATATATATATGTGTGTGTGTGTGTGTGTGTGTGTGTGTGTGTGTGTGTGGATGTGCGACTGTGCGTGTATGTGTGAAAATACAATAGAGAGCTAAGTTTATAGAGAGAAATATGATTGATACAAAACTTAATTATACAAGATAGTACACCATACTTTATACAAGAGATAGTAATGCATTTTCCTGTATATTGGACGTATGAAGCAGATAGATAGATAGATAGATAGATAGATACTTACATAACTAGGCAATTAGATAAATACTGACAAATTTATATGTATAAGAACATGAACACAAACACACACAGATATATATATATATATATATATATATATATATATATATATATATATATATAAACAAACTGAGGTAGACAGGTAGATATCAAGTGCTAAGGAATCGAACAGGAAGAGAATGAAAAAGAAATATCAACAGGATAAGCTAGAGATGACTAAATTCATATATATATATATATATATATATGCATGCTTATGAATATACCTATACATACATACATACATACATATATATATATATATATATATATATATATATATATATATATATATATATATATATATATATATATATATATATATATATATATATATATATATGTACATACGACTATATATATATATATATATATATATATATATATGTGTGTGTGTGTGTGTGTGTATGTCTGTGTGCGTGGTCTCAAAATGCACTGACCGATTGATACCAGTAGGCGCACATACATACTAGGATATACATATAAGTGTAGTAATACATTCTTTATGATGTGTCTGAGTGAAGTCATATATGTTTTCCTGTGTGTATGTGTGTGTGGGAGCATGTGCAGTCGTTTTTATGTATAGAATATACATATCTTGTTTTAATATAAAATATTATTTGATAATATAGCAACTTTATATTTTTGAAATTAATGTTATCATTGTAATATCATTTTTAATATTAATGAATAATAATAATAATTCTTCTATTATTATTATTATTATTATTACATTTTTACATTCCATGCCATCATGGCATGTAATCAGTCTTCTTTAATAATTTAATTAATCGATCTGTATTCATAATATTTTCAAAATACAAAATAGTCTTTTCGACTCTTATACGAGCTCTCTCTGTTTATTTTTCTCTTATTTTGCAGAAGTTATCTCCCCTATTTTTTAATTACATTTACATGTATTTCTTTCCGCTATCATGTTTCTGTGAGTTTGACTGGCATTATCGATAGACCAAGTATATAGGTTAAAAATAGCACGAGCGGAAATGATGTCATTCGAACAGCGCCACTTCCGCTTCCTTGCTCTCCGTCTCCTCCCTTGTGTTCATTGTTTCTTTCGTGGTTTTCCTTGTAGACTGAAAGAATTCCTGGGATTCCAATTGGGTTCGGGTGGGTTTTGGCGTTTTGTTTGTAATCCCCGTTACCGGCCCTTTCGTTTTTATGATGGAGGTGAACCATCCGGGTAACTGGAGGCGGTGTTGTAGTACGGACTGGTATGTCTTTGCAAGGATATACTTCAGGCATAATCGTATACACAAGTAAGGGCTTCATAATTTTTGCTCGGACGAAAATACCGGCAATCCGGCTACACTGAGAAGCCGCCATCACAAGGACCTCTTTTTCTTTCATCTCACTAAAAAGTAAACAGATCACGTCGGTGATATTGTCTCTGTTCTGAAGTAACACTGCGCTTTCCCAGTAGTTCGTTTTGAATCTAGACAAGCAATAATAGTCCGTGACGGGGTTATGAGCCGAGCAGTCCTTCATCTCGATGCGAAACTTGGTGTTGTCCAAACAATCTTGAAACATGCTTCCATAACAACCAACTCCAGGTTTTAAGGCCAATCGAATTTCATAACTAGTCCTGAATCCACAATCTTCAAATTGGGAATAACGACTTCTTGATACGATAGGCTTGAGTGAGTCAGGAAAAGATCGATAAGTGTCCCGAATTGGTTTCACATCAGGTACAAACCGCTGGTCCGCACATATTGATTTCTTGAGTTCTTCATCAAGAAGCGGCCAGCCGTAACTACTAGACAAAACATATCCCATGACCATCGGCGAAATATCTTTTATTTGAATGCAAGAATATCTTGGTCGACACCCGTTACGGAAGGTAGACACGACCGAATAGCGACCCTCACTTCGAGTCGACACCTTATTCAAGGAGATACATTTGAAATTTCCAACGCGTTCAATATGAAACGTCGATTCGCCAATGTGAATTACCCGACCGCCATCATAATCTCGCTGGTACCAGACGCCGCGGAGGCTGCTGGGAAAGGAACAGACGGGTGGTGGCATTCTAGGACTGCACTTTCGGCAACTAAGCGGACATTCATTCTCAATGTATTTCGGGCAGGCCATGTGTGAACACTCTCTGTATTCGTCCTGACAGAGGTTTGTATGTGTGACCCGCTCAAGGTTCATAGTTATAAAACTGATCGTGTCGTGCCTCTGATTGCCGGCGTGTCCCGTCTTTCTACCTCCCCCTGCACCTCCACTACTTCTGGTCCAACCCATGAAATCTTTGGGGCCCCGGGCGCAGACCAAGTCGAAGAACAATTCCGAAGTAATTTCGTCTCTATTTCCTGTTCCGTTATTTGTACGCAGGCACCATACCTGCCCTTTGTGGCTCCGAACAATAGTGAACGTGTATCCACTGTCCCACCATTCAGTGACACAAATGATATTCGTGCTAATATCCATCGGTGTGCCTTGAAGGCAGGATTTGGAACGAAAGTCAAATACCATGCCTTCACCAGAGATACATTCACTTTCAAGCCGCATCGGTAAAGCTTTCATATTGCACCCATTCGGCATACCGTTGGCATTTGTGATTTTCATGTTGTATCCACCTTGCAAGGGACATAGCACATACTCATCTTCGATTCTCAAACGTAGGATAAGCGGCCAGGGGTTGATATCGAGTCGGTGATCCTGGCAAAACTGCAAATCAAGTTCGGGTCGGTACTCGGATTCCCGTATTTGCACGACGGATATACCTCGCTTGACGAACTCAATGCAGACATACGTAGCTAGCTTTCCCGGTTCCTCGTGACGCACCATAAACTTGTTGTCACCCATTTTGGCAATGCACTTGCGGGCGTAGTGCATCTCTGTAAAATTGCTGCCGTATGAGGTCTGAAAGACGCGCACGGCGAGCATGTAGCCCTTTTGAAATCGAATTTCCGTGTGTTCGTCCCCGTCAATTGTAGAGATGAACTCCGATTCCCAAACGCTCTTAACTGTCTTCATTGCTGTCATGTCGTGGTAGTTACAGGTGGATGCAGTTGCTGTGCCCGCATGCGCCGACAGAAGCAACAATAACATCAAAAGCAACAGCAGTAGCGATGGCGGCACTTGACTTCCGCTGAGGGATGTCGGGATTGGACGACGGCCACAGTGGTAGGAAAGACTACGACGTTGATAGCGACATAAGCAACAGATCATCATTCTTTTGAACTGTTTATGAATATATAGAAAGAGATATAGATATAAATATATTTATAGGTATCCACGCACGCCGTAAGACTGTAATTGGAAAATATAAATATATCAGTGAGGATCAGTATATCTATACATATATAAGTATACTTGTGGATATATATTGCGATAGATAAGGATTATATTGCATATGGAGACAATTTTGATCTGGCTCAGGCGATGTGTCTCCTTTATAAAGTTGCAAAGAAGACTTGATTAAAATGGTCGGTATTTGCGTTTCCTTTCCAGTCTTTAAGGGCAGAAAATGCCGGAAACCTGTAAAATAGAAACAAAAATGTAATAGAACAGTGAAAAGAAGAGGACATTTTACATAAAAACTTTAAATAAATAGACAAAGAAAGAGAGGTCATTAGTGAAAATTGCGGAAAACAAGTAAACAAAAAATGTATCGGGTATGTAGACATAAATGACGACATGTTCCATTTTTCAAAGGACGCTGCTTATCTGCTCAATGCGTATCCAAATGTAAACAAATGACGTCACAATCGGTTAAGGCACGTCAGGCGAAATGACGGTTCCGTGTATAGGATACAGGTTCGATTCCTGTCGGAGGACGAATATTTTTTATGAAAATTTCTCAGACATTCAGGCTGGTTAATGTTGTTAATACTGTTTATTATAAACAGAGTATTTACTTAAATATTTACATATATATTTCATATATATATATATATATATATATATATATATATATATATATATATATATATATGCTATTTTTATTATAAGAGATTGTAATAAAAAACATCTTGAAATCGCGACACATAACTTTTCATGTTTCAATACCATGACTGTACTTCTTCAGGCGATGGTCAATAACTGGTGATTAAATGATTTGTAAGGAAATTTAAAAATAAAGTGTTACCTCTTTCTGCAAAAGTTAAAAGGTGGTGGCATAAAGTCAGAATTAAAAATAGACTCATGGGCATGTCTTGATTAACCAATTAAATGTCAGATCTACGCTGAATAGAAAAGTGAGCTTAGAAGATGGAAGTGGCTGAGTAATTTTTTCATTTCACAATATACTGGAACATAGACATGCCATCATTGACGATTGCAGAAAATCTTCCATCGCAAATGTATTGTGATTGTAGACAAATATGTTGAATTTTTTTTTTTTTTTTGAAAGGGCGTTGAAGGGGGAGGTGCGTTAATCAGCCGCAAAATTAACAGAAAATTTTTTTAATTTTTTTATATTCAGGAAGCTTCTTAAATGGGCTTGTAGATAAAAGTAAAAATGTGGAACATCTATATAAGATATGAATAATACTAACTGGACGACAATACATCAGTTCTTTCTCTCATTTGTATATATATATATATATATATATATATATATATATATATATATATATATATATAATATTGATAATATTAGTAAATATACGCAATCATATATCTAAAATATATAAATATATATATACATACATACACATGCATATATATTTGCATAAAAAATAATTCCAAGAGGATAGAATCCAGATAGAACTCAATGTCCAGGACAGAGTAAGGATATAATAAAAAGGCTTAAACACTAATATTCCATGGTTATAATTTATTCCATTGGAATAGTAATCACGATCCAATTCATCAGACCTACAAATTCAAGAAGAAAACAGAAAAAACAACTCCGGGAAAAAAAATAAAAATTAGTGAGAGTGTATGTATGAGAGTGTGGGACGAATGTTAGAGTAAATGAAAGCTATAGGGAGGGGTAACAGACGAGAGAAGAACAGGAAGGTCTAAAGATGAAGGGGTGATGAAAATTTAACAGAGAGAAGTTTTAAAGAGGGGCGTCAAAGATATACATATATGTGTGTGTATGTGTGCGTGTGTGTGCGTGTGTGCGTGCTATTTTGATGGATACTCAAATTCGAGTAGAAGCTCTGCCTTTTAATTAAACTTTATGGTAAGATTTCTCGAATATTCATGCCGGTAGATGTAGTTGGATAAAAAAAATTAAATTTAACTTTATTTTTATAAAAAAGTTTCGCATATCGAGGTATCTGACAGAGATTGTGATTTTCCTAACAGTTAGATTTTCCACTGGAAAATACCCCATCTATAAAACATCTGTCGGTGAGTAATTCCCATTTCTTTGTTTATTCCACGGTTCGTTGATAAAGGACACAGGCGTGTCAGAAAAGTCCGAACATAAAACCTCTCTTTACGTGCTTCATTTCTGTCATATGGAGAATATTTAATAAATGTTTATCGTACTGATTATATTGGTACCATTTTGTTTGTCCTTGTTTTATTAACAAACCTACTATATATCTATCATATATATATATATATATATATATATATATATATATATATAAAGAACAATTGAATTTCGTCTTCAGATCACATAGGCCGTTTTCTTTCACACATGTTCTTCTGAATGAGCAATGACGATGATGAAATTAGGTCTTTAATTAGACCTTATTGTTGTATTGTCATCCACATCTGTGGACCTTGACTACAGTCATCCTATGGGCTGCGTTTACAAAGGCAATCGAGTCTGTTCAAGAGGCTATTTTAAAGTCGTTTGTTGCCTTACAAGTGTGAAACATTCTCTCTAGAATGAGAGATACTAGCAATGAAAGGCGGATAGGAGACGTTAAGAGTGTCGAATGCTTACTTAAGAGAAAAAAAAAAACAATTGCAGGCGATACTCTTAACGATTTGAGGTGATTAAGTGCTGGGAAATCTGAAGATGGAATCTAATGTGAATCGAAATACGGTACTGTTCCCAGGATCACGATTAAAATCTTCAAAAAGGAAGACATATACCGTGCTAATCATGGAAATAAATGTGTTATAATTCCTATATTCGAGCAATTACTAAATAAAAAAAAAACTAAACTAAAATTCTGGGGTGGGGATTTATCATTATTTACACTATTTCTGTTTGGGGCAATAGCCTAGCGCGTGGCTAAGACCGAATGTTAACTTTCCTCATCTCCTCTTATTTATATAAACGGAAGATTTCATTCATTTATGTCCTATATGACAGTTACCCAGATCGATATAGACCTGAGGAAGACCGAAGAGCACAACAGCCTAAGCGTTGTGATAATAACAATAGAAATGAGGACAATATTCCGAATATAAATAGTGTTGATAATTGTATCTTATAGTAAAGCATCAAGTACATTTTTTTTGTATAAATTAATGATATTAGTCAAAGGTAATTCAACATTCATACATTCAACATTTACACCATGTTTATTAGATGAGACGTTCGTGACTTAATATAATGTAAGTATAATGCCAATTATTTATTGCTATTGAATATGGTTCATAGAGTTCGATATCCAGTGTAATCAGGATTCATACAGAGATAATTAGATTTAAAAAAAAACGACGCTAAAAGACAATTACTTTTGCAATACTAATTTATTGTCAACCGCTGACGCAAGAAAAACACAATTTTTAACCAAATTTTCGAAGGCTCTAAAAGAATACAAAAAAAGAATATAATTTAATAATAAAAAAAGAATAACTATGATCTTTCCTCTTAATTATAACATTTCGACAATAAAACTGTTTTTATTAACTTTCAGACATTATTTCATGATATATGCTCATTTTTACTGTATCTTTGAAGATAACTATATACGAGGTCTGTTTGAAAAGTAACGGTGCTGGTTGTACTGTGTGAGTCCTGGACAAAAGAAGAATAAGCGGATTATATTATGGTTGAATATGATATCTTACGAGTATGTAACGCTAATCTTAGCTTTCTGCAACCATTGATTTTTTTTTTCACATGCGAACTTTGTTGTAATCCAAATCATGGCTGCTTCACTAGGACTATGCACCTACTCACAACGCCCTGAGCATCCGGCAGTTCCTGGTTGAGAAAAACATCGCCGTACTGGTACAACCACTAGATCTTGCTCCGTGTGACTGTCTTCTTTTCAACAAGCCCAAAGGCTAATTAAGCGGACCCGTTTTGAAGGCGTGGAAGCCGTCATGGGGGGCCGTAACGACAGAACTGAGGGTCATCCAAGAAGAATCCTTTCAACAGTACATAAAAAGCGTGACAGATTGAGGTGTAAAAAGTGCATTACACTCGAGAAGGATTAATTTGAAGGGTAAACCATATAATTTGTTGTTTGGAATGAAATTGTTTGTGACAGACCTCGTATATATATATATATATATATATATATATATATATATATATATATATATATATATATATATATATATATAAAGGTTTAAACACTAATATTCCATGGTTAGGTTATAATTTATTACACTGGAATCGTAATGACGGTATCGTGCATTGGATCGTGATTACGATTCCAATGTAATAAATTATAACCATGGAATATTAGTGTTTGAACCTTTTATATTATATTCTTACTCTGTCCTGGATATTGAGTTCTACCTGGATTCTATCCTCTTATGAATTTATTTATATAGATATACATATACATTTATATATTTTTTATATATATATGTATATATGTGTATATTGACCACTAAAATTCTCTCTCTCTCTCAATATATATATATATATATATATATATATATATACACGAGGACTGTTTGAAAAGTAACGAGACATATGTTCAATGTGAGATGCATCGTCAACATTGGGTTCTTGCCACTGGGCCAGAAGATCAATGAGCAAGTCTACAAAGACATCTTGTAGAATTTGCTTCGCTCAGCGCGCGAGAAATGTAGAAAGACAATTCATGGCCACTTATCGCAACAATGTATCTGCTTACAACGCCCTGGGCATTCGGTAGTTCCTGGTTGAGAAGAAACATCACTGTACTGTAGCAGCCACTCTATTCACCTTTTTCTGTGTGACTTTTTTCTTTTCTCCAAACTCAATGGAACCATCAAGGAGGAACCGTTTTCAAGGTGTGGAGACCATCAAGATGGCCGTAACGACGGAGCTGAGGGGCATCCAAGAATAATCCTTTCAGTAGTGCATAGAAGCG